GGTGAGAGGTTCGGATACGGGTGAGAGGTTCGGGCTCGGGTGAGAGGTTCGGACACGGGTGAGAGGTTCGGATACGGGTGAGAGGTTCGGGCTCAGGTGAGAGGTTCGGACACGGGTGAGAGGTTCGGACACAGGTGAGAGGTTCGGGCTCGGGTGAGAGGTTCAGGCTCAGGTGAGAGGTTCGGACACGGGTGAGAGGTTCGGGCTCAGGTGAGAGGTTCGGGCTCGGGTGAGAGGTTCGGGCTCGGGTGAGAGGTTCGGGCTCGGGTGAGAGGTTCGGACACGGGTGAGAGGTTCGGACACAGGTGAGAGGTTCGGACACCGGTGAGCAGCTCCAGCCCCAGTGAGCAGCTCGGCCCCGGGGCTCCGGCAGCATCCCAAGGAGCTGGGAGAGCTCTGCCAGGGGCATTCCCAGCTTGGCACGGGACCTGCTCCCCAGGCAAGAGGAGACACGAAGCCGCTGACACGTTTCTTGCTGTTCCCTTCGGAACGGCATCGGAGCAAGGCTGCGAGAAATCACGCGCTGGGTTCAACAGATTTCTCTCCAGAGTGAGGCTTCGGCTCGGAAGGGGAGGATGTGAGAGTTGAAAAAATTACTACAGAATTCTGTTTGCCTGAGAGTGCTGTCACAGCACACTCGGACAGGCTGCCAGGTCCCTCCCGACTGCTCCTGGCCTGCAGGAATCTGAGCCGGTGCCACTTGGAAAGCAGCACTTCGGTTTGTGTAATCATTAATTAATATCCACTGCATCGGGAAAGGATTCACAAGTCAAATACAAGAAAATGTTGCCCATCTGTTATGAGTGGGAACCTTCAAACTGCAGCATCACGAACTATTGCCCAGGACTGCGAAGGGAAAAAAGGAGGAAGGAAAGAAAAAAGGGGAAGGGGTTGGATGTCCCTTCCCTGCTGTGTGTCAGGGCCACTGACACGGGCAGAGCTGTGGCCGCTGGCACCGGGACTGGCAGGTACCAGGGACGGGAGCCCTGCAGGTGCTGCAGCAGGGAGGAGTGCAGAGCACCAGGAAATATCCGGGAAATAGGAAAGGCCCCTTCCAGCTCTGAGTGGAATGACACGGGAGAGGCAAGTGAAGCACAGAGCGGGGCCTGGCAGTTTCCAGCACTGCGTGCTGCCCGTGGCTCGCTGCCTTGCACCTGCATGTTCGGGCACCTCAGGGCGTGGGGCCACCCCCGTCCTGTCCCTTCCTGTCCCTTCCTGTCCCTTCCTGTCCCGTCCTGTCCCGTCCTGTCCCGTCCTGTCCCGT